TTAAAAGGTTTGCAGGTTCCAATCATCAGTGGTTCCACCCCCTGGAAGGTCCTTTAATGGGCCTATAACTGATTCTGTAATTACAAGTTTCTGCGTAACTATGGAGGAGGAAAGACTACCAGGGAGTCACCCCCAGACTTGCAGGATGATGGGAGAACCACATTCTCAGGCTTGGGAGAATGTAAAATGGAGTGTCAAGGCTTTTCCCATGAGCGGAATGATCTTTAATTCGTCCAACTATGGATCCACCTCAGGGGCATTCTGGGATCCAGATGCAGGAGAAATGACAGTAGAAAATACTGAAAGGTAACCATTTTATCCTGCTGCCACCTGTCATCAAGGAGCCCACTAGAGTGGGGGCTTCCGGAGCGTACTTGACCAATTTGAATCTTTAACAAGAACACACAAACTGATGGTTTTTACAATCAGTGGAAGACTGGCAACCAAATTCATCCGTTCCTTTATTTATTTCAACTATAGGTCACTGTTCAAAATATATTATCTTCCCATGGCAACTTTCACAACAAATAAGAAGTTTAAAACTGTATAAAAGCAACACACTGGTAATAATAGCAGCAACAAAACACTTCACTTCTTCTAATCCAATTCCACCAGCCAGCTGTCCTAATCAAAATAGAGAGGCTTACCTTTTAAACGCCCCCACTAAAAGCAATTGGGAAGGGAAACATTTAGAGCCCAGATGAATGCTAGCAAGGAAAGGAGTGAACAGCCACAAGTCAATCATGGAAAAGTTCCTAACCCTTGTGCCCACCATGCAGCAATGCGGAAAAATGGTGCTTACTGTAGCTTTCAACAACAAACAATAGCATGTTGAGAAAGTGTAATCATTGTGCAATTATCCAGTGGTGAAAACCAGGGGTTGGGAATCTTCTTCAGCTTAAGGGCCACATTTCTTTCTGGTCAAGCTTCTGAGGGCCAAATGCCAATCCAAATGCCCAGATTGGAATGATTGGAAGGGTGCATGCCTGTTGCGTCCTCCTGATGCCCTGCTAGCCCCACGCTGATTTGCGAGGCTGGGGTGTGGGGATCACACATGGTCCCTGGACGTTTGACGGTCTATTGATCCCTGTGCCACCACTGATTGCTTTCCCGCTGCCACCAACCCATTTCTCTCGGGTACACATGGAATCCAGACAGTTGTTAACATTAACAAATAATCAAGTTTATTTTATAGGCATGAACAAGCTTACGGTTTCAGTTAATTTTTCTTGGCAGTTTCTTAATCTTAGTTCCTTTACTGACCTATACGTTCCTAATGTCGCCGGAAGACCCCCCCCCTTCATTACACTGTAATGCACAAGCACCACACACCTCCCATCTCCCTAAACAGGGTGATGCCCCTTCTAGAGGGGCATCACCTCAACGGGCAATAGCCTTCCGTAAATAAGGAAGCGCTGATTTCCTTTAAAATAGCCTTTATTTCTATGCATTTCTTCCACGTTCCGCTCTGCCCTATCTTTATTACGAGTAGACCGGGCGCATAAACTCCAGGTCAGCCGGCAGCCGTTTCAGCCAATCAGTGTTACCGAACAGCGCCCCTTGTGGCGGCCACGCTGGTACTGCAGGCAGCGGACCCTCGCTTCTCTGTCTTTGACAGCTTCCTAATACAAAGTTTCCGGGTTCAATTGACCGTGACTGATTTAATCAAAATGTAGCAACCACTTCCTGAGGAGTGAAAGTGCTTGAACTTCAGCGGCCGTATTCTTCATAAATTCACCATAAATCAACCGTACGTCGGATTTTCATCGGACCACTTTTATTCTACTCCATATTACAAGGACTGTCAAAGGGGGGTGGCTTGTTGCCAGTCAGCCATAATCCCTTGACCGAGCAGGCACGTACTCTGCAGCCCTTCCCCTGTTGACACAGCAACCTTGATAGTCGCCTTGATGGGCTCAGACGAAAGACTATCAAGGACACAATGAACTGCATATGCTAGTGTATTCAGCACGGACTATGACAAAAGAACTGTGACCGGAGTCCCCTCAGGGGGCAGGAAACTGCGCCCTTCCCTTTGTTCTCTGGAAAGGCTTATGGCGAGGAGGGGAGGGGGACCCTGCCAGGTGTCAGGATACTCGGATTACCTGTGCGACCCCTCCTCCGACTCCTCCTGTTTTTAATGTAGTCATGATGTAAATATGATGTATTTCTAGGGGTGTAACTTAGGGGATTAGGAACTAATAAAAGTTGGGGTCTTCTTTTGTTCGGGGCTTCCATCTTGCTTCACCTCGTGGGCGGTGGGAGTCCTGTCGCGACAGTCTTTTCTTCAATAAAGACCAAGCCTACAGGCTGCTGATTTGCTTCCAATTGCTCTGGTTGGTGTCTTTGTTTTTGTCCAAGGGAGCCCTCAGATTTTCCGTTAACAGTTGGCGACCGTGCTCAGGGACACTTGGTTCTCCTGTAGAGGTGAGGAGGGAGAAAAGAGGGGATCGGGCGCCACTGGGCAGCCTTAGCCCAGGGATCTTTTCTCCTCTCCCTGCCTCCCTTTGCGGGCGGTAATCAACCGTCACCGAAAGCTCAACCAGGGGAGCAAAGGCAAGGTCAAGCCGGCTAAAGGGAAAGATCCCGGGATCTTCGAGGGACATCTGGGAACGTGAGTATGGTTTGAAGGAAATACATTGGGAGGGGGGTGGAAAGCAACGTCCCCACGACAGCTGGACCTTTTCTTCCTTCTATCTCTGGCGTTACCTCTCGGAGTCGTCCAGGAACGTCCTAAACTTTCTCTGTCTCTCCCCTATTTCCCTTCGGAGCTGGGCCAGGGAAATAGTGGTATCATTGTTGAATTCCGACGTTACCTCTCGGAGTCGTCCAGGAACGTCCAAAACTTTCTCTGTCTCTCCCTATTTCCCCTTCGGAGCTGGGCCAGGGAAATTGTGGTATCTTTGTTGCATTCCGACGTTACCTCTCGGAGTCGTCCAGGAACGTCCTAAAAAAATATCTCTCCTTTTCTCCCCCGTTTTCCCTTCGGAGCTGGGCCAGGGAAAACGCGGTGCTTTGCTGTTTCTCTGACGTCCTCCCTCGGAGTCGCCCGGAGGCGTCCATCCAAAACCTCCCTCTCTCCTTTTCTCCCCCGTTTTCCCCTTCGGAGGTGGGCCAGGGAAAACGCGGTACTTTGGCATTTCTCTGACGTCCTCCCTCGGAGTCGTCCGGAGGCGTCCATCAAAAAATCTCTCCTGCGCTCTCTCTCTCTCTCTCTCTCTCTCTCTCTCCTCCTTATGCAAATGAAGCCGCCCCTCCTGCTTGGCGACCCTTGTTGGGGATGACCCGGGTACGTGAGAACGCAAGGTCATTTGCTTCCTTTCAAAACTTTGTTTTCTCGGACCTCGATCTGGCACTGCATTGCGCAGGCGTCCAGTAGGGAGCCCGACCCTAGTTTAAAGGCTAGGTAGGAGGCTGTCGAGGGGAACAGAACGGGAGGTACACAAAGTGGGGCCCCACACTAGGGTTAGTCTTGTAAAAAAACAGTGCTGAGGTAAAGGAATACTGGATCCGTGGTTAGGAATTCGGGCGAGGAGACCCGTGGTTAGGAATTCGGGCGAGGAGACCCGTGGTTAGGAATTCGGGCGAGGAGACCCGTGGTTAGGAATTCGGGCGAGGAGACCCGTGGTTAGGAATTCGGGCGAGGAGACCCGTGGTTAGGAATTCGGGCGAGGAGACCCGTGGTTAGGAATTCGGGCGGAGACCCGTGGTTAGGAATTCGGGCGAGGAGACCCGTGGTTAGGAATTCAAGTTCATGTCTGAGATATTATATAGATAGGTAGAAATTGAGTTACTCAAGGATACTTCAAGTACTGAAAGGATATTTTCTCTTTCCCCCTGCCCCTCCTTTTCTCCCTCCCTTCTTCCATCACCCCCCTCTCCCCTTGTGTGTGTGCCCACTCTTTCTGTCCCTAGTGTACTGCAAAGAATGGGGGCCCATGCTTCCAAGCATTCAGGCTGGACTCCTCCAGGCGGCAAGGCTTCCGCGGAGCCTTTCCGCCCGAGAGAGGACTCTGATACCCCTCTTCAATTTGTTCTATTAAACTGGAAAGAGTTGAGAGGGAGGAAAGGACTCTCAAAGTCCAAATTAAGGGACCTTTGCAACATCTCGTGGGTCGCTTTCACCCACCATCTAGAGCCGGCCTCCCAATGGCCACCCCACGGTTCCTTTAATCTTGTGAAGATGCAAGCACTTAAGTCGTATCTAGCAGACGAGAAGCCCCGGCAACTGTATTATCTCAATGCCTTCGTTGAAGCCCGTGAATTGTTTCAGCGACAGCAGACTCAAATCGTTCGGCAAATGGCTGTTTTAAAACGACCAGGCCTCCCCCATATGACGAAATTAGAACCCAGGAGGAACAATTGGATAGAACCCTCGTTTCTTTCTACTACCCCGAACCACAAGCCCCCCGACCGCCTGAATCCGGGGCAAGAGACAGGACAGGAGCCGGTGGGGGAGGCGGCGCGGGACCCGGGGAAAACGTAATTAATCCACCCACCGCTGCCCCCTCTCGAGCCGCACCAAGTGCATCGTCGCCTATCCCTTCCACAAGTGCGACCAATATAGGAAACCACATAGATTCAGACCTAGAACCCACACCTAACGGACAGCTTCTCAACGGAGAAAGGGAGGGACCCGTCTCCAGTAGAACTCGAAATAGGGATAATCTGCCGAACGGCGAAGTAGAGGGAGCCTTTCCCCTAAGAGCATTGCCTATACCCCCAACCAGGGCAGGAGACCCACCCCGCATGGTTTTTACTCACCAACCCTTCCTCACTTCGGACTTAATGAACTGGTCTGACAAGATGCCCTCCCTACGGGATGACCCCGACAAATGTCACCGCCAGGTGGCCACCATCTTTTCCACCCACAACCCAACGTGGGCGGATGTACATATGTTACTCGGGGCTCTTTTAACGAGGCAGAAAAGAGGGAAATACTGACAAAGGCAGGAGAAGCTTTAGCGCGGGAAGGCTACCAACCGGACCGACCTGCCTCGATGGCCCCCCTGACCACCCAGACCCTACTAAATGACCCCGACTGGAACTATAACACTGACAACGGCATATGGGGTTTAAAAATTTTTAAGAAAGCCATCCTAGATGGTATTAAAGCTGCGGGACAGCGAACCGTAAACTGGACCAAAGTCCAAGCCGTCCTTCAAGGACCTGATGAACATCCATCTGACTACTACTCAAGGCTAGTCTCAGCCATTAAGACCTGGGGGGGAATAGATCCGGAGAGCCCCCAGCACGAAGTAATAGTCAAAGGATTTTTTAAAGATCAAGCTACACCCGACATTAGAAAAGCATTGAATTCGCACCTAGGGTATGATGGAAAAACCATAAATGAAATCCTTTCCATCGCTAAATCCGTCTTCAACACAAGGGATGAACGGAAAAGAAAAGACCAAAGGCCCGATCTCCCACGGGTGTTAGCCTATGCGGCTGGGGTTCCTAACCCCAAAGAAAAATTTAAGTCATGGGGACCTGAACTACTAGATGACCGCGTTTGTTACAACTGTAATGAAGTAGGACATATAAGAAGAAATTGCCCCCTTGTGACAGGATCCAAAAGGATCGAATATAGAAATCCAAGACCATACCAGTCTGACTACAGGGAAACCACCCACCCCAGGTACAGGGAGTCTACCACCCCATACCGACCTAATCAATCCCCAACCCGAACGCAACCCTACGCGGAACCCCCTCCTCCACAACCGCGACCACGAAATCAACCCCACGAAGCTACCAACCCCTTTAAACAGGGCGGTCGCCCCACAAACCCAACTCATGAGATGGTAATGGAGGAATACCAGGCGCATTGACAATTAGAAGCAGATCCCGCCTCCTTTTCTTTCCTATGCCCAGTCTTACAACTATCCTCTTCCGACCCCATATGCACTATGCAAATTGATGGCCAGTCGTATGATTGTCTCCTAGACACTGGGGCCACCTACTCCACCCTTACGAATAGCCATTTAGCACCGGGAGACGAAACCAGAACCGTAGTAGGACTTGATGGAATCCCCCGGAACTGCCCCCTTTCCAAGCCTGCGAGAGTCTCCGTCGGACCTCTATCGGTTAAACATACTTTCCTACTAACTTCCAGCCCAGTTAACCTCCTGGGGAGGGATCTGCTATGTAAGTTGAACGCTACTATACAATGCGGCCAAGAAGGGATTTACTTGCACATGCCGAACGACTCCATTTTCAACTTCCAAGGGGTTCTTCAAGAAGCTAACAACAAATTCCCTGACCTTCCTCCCGAGCTTCTTAATAGCGTCCCCTCTTGGTTATGGGGAACTGAATCAACATCCGTTGGACTCCTAAAGTCGGCAACCCCAGTAAAAGTTAACTACAGGAAAGACCTACCATTCCCCTGTACAAAACAATACCCTTTGCCTCCTGAAGCAATCGAAGGACTTACCCCAATGATTGATGAATTTTTGAAAATGGGAATCCTAGTTCCCTGTGCCTCCCCATGTAATACCCCGCTTCTCCCCGTCAAGAAGCCAAACACTAACCCTGTCAAATGGCGCCTCGTCCAAGACCTTCGACTCATCAACTCTTTCGTTATCCCCAGACACGCTGTTGTAGCCAACCCCACCACCTTTTGAGCACGATCCCGGAGGGAACTGTCGTCTACTCCGTCATAGACCTATGTTCCGCCTTCTTTAGCATCCCCGTGGACCCAGAAAGCCAATTCCTCTTTGCCTTTACCTGGCAAACCGGTCAATTAACATGGACTCGGTTACCCCAGGGATACGTGGAATCTCCGGCAATCTTTTCTTCCATATTACACCAGGACTTACTAGACGTGAACCTTCCGGGAGGCTCCGCCCTCAGGCTCTATGTGGATGACATTTTACTTTGTGGGCGGGACTTGGAATCCTGTAAGTCAGACACTATAGCCCTCCTGACAATACTCGCGCACAAGGGACACAAAGTATCCCCCAAAAAGATACAGTACTGCCAAAAGGAAGTGAAATATCTTGGCCACATCCTTGGAGAAGGCACCCGTGCCCTCGCCACAGATAGGATTGAAGCCATAACGAAGCTGCCCCTCCCCAAGACTAAGAGGCAGCTCAGGGGCTTCATCGGGATGAGTGGGTTTTGCCGAGCATGGATCCCCCGCTACGGAGAATTCACTCGACCCTATTACCTCTTTGACAAACTAATATGCCCCAGTCCACTTGCAATGGAGTGCAGAGGCACTCGAAGCCTTTGAATCTATCAAACGGGAACTGAGGTCTTCACCTGCCCTCGGACTCCTGACTATAGACTACCTTTCTCTTTATTCGTCCATGAAAATAAAGGAGTAGCCTCGGGTGTCCTTACGCAACCTTTTCAGGGAAGGAACAGGCCCGTCGCTTACTACAGCCTTCAACTGGACACTACCGTAATGGGAAATGTGGGGTGCCTTAGAGCAGTAGCAGCTGCAGCACTACTTCTTGAAAAGGCGCAGGAGACCGTCTTAGGACATGAACTAACCGTAAATGTTCCCCATGCCGTGGCCACCCTCCTCAGCTTGCAAGGATGCCAACGCTTCACGATCCAAAGACTGAATAGATATGAAGCCATCCTCCTTAGTCCGTCTAATGTTACCATAAAAAGGGTGAACTCCCTTAATCCGGCAACCCTCCTTCCCCTCCCTGACGATGGCACCCCGCACCACGACTGTTCTCAGGTGGTCCGACACGCTGAAAAACCACGTGAGGACCTCGACTATCTTCCCTTAAGCAACCCCGATCTTATATTATACACCGACGGGAGCTCAAAAATTGTGGGAGGGGAACGGAAAAGTGGATATGCAGTTGTCAGCGACACTGACATCCTTGAAGCGCGTCCTGTCCATGCTAGGTTTAGCGCACAGGCTGCAGAACTTATCGCCCTGATCCGAGCCTGCGAATTAGCAACAGGACAGAGGGTCACTATTTACACAGATTCTAAATATTGCTTTGGGTTAGTTCATGCCACCGGACAAATCTGGCTACAGAGGGGTTTTCTGACCGCTGCAGGCACCCAAATAGCCCACGCACCTCTAGTACAACGCCTTATGGATTCTATACATCTTCCAGAAGAAATAGCAGTAGTCCATTGCAAAGCCCATACCAAGGGAAAAGACCCAGTATCAATGGGGAACCGCTGTGCTGACCGCGTGGCACAAGAAGCAGCCCTCCAACCACTGTCTGCAGATGGTGAATTTCAGGGACCCCAGGTTCCGTCGGACGTAGACTTTAACCTAATGTATAAAACCGCCACCCCAGAAGAAATAAAGGGATGGGAAGAGCAGGGAGCTCTCTTCAGCAACGGCATATGGTACCCCCCTGACAAAAGACTCATAATGCCCCGGCTCTGGGTACCCAAACACATAAGAATACTACATCAGTGTACCCACTGGGAAGGGACAAACTCATAGACTCTGTCCAACGCTGCTGGTACGCTCCAGGACTGGCTCTGGCTGCAAAATCAGCAGTAAAGAATTGTCACACCTGCCAAACCTTTAATCCAAAGCATACTGCCAGATGTCCGCCAGGAGCCAGACCGTGGGCTTTTGTCCCTTTCGAAAGCCTTCAAGTCGACTTCATAGACCTACCCCCTTGTCAGGGCTACAAGCATGCCCTTGTCATTATTGATCAATTAACAGGATGGGTGGAATGTCTCCCGACTCGCCGAGCTACTGCCCAAATGGTTGCAAAAACCCTACTGCATGAAATAATACCGCGTTTCGGGGTTCCGAGACACATAGACAGTGACAGGGGCTCACACTTCACTTCCGACGTAGTCCAACAAGTCGCTAAAGCCCTAGGGATCAAATGGAGATTGCATACCCCATACCACCCCCCTTCCTCAGGGCAGGTTGAACGAATGAATCAACAATTAAAGTCCCAGCTAGGAAAGCTCTGCAGGGACTCTGGAATTAAGTGGGTCAATGCCCTCCCCTTGGTTCTACACAATCTCAGAGCATGCCCCCGTGGGAATCTGAACCTATCTCCTTATGAACTGCTTTTTGGAAGACCCTCCCCCGTGTATAGCACGCAATTCCCCCCATCAGAACTAGAGGTAGGCGAGTCTGAATTGACCAAATATATAATACAGCTCCAGAAGCAACTCATTGTTCTCCACAGATACGCGGCAGCAGGCCAGAACCTACCCCTCGACGAGAACATCCATCCGTTCCAACCAGGGGACTGGATATTGGCAAAGACTTACCAGAAGGTACCCCTACAACCTACCTGGGAAGGACCTTACCAGGTCCTTCTCACAACCCCCACCTCCGTCAAAGTAGCGGAGAAGTCGGCCTGGCTGCATCATACCCGCTGCAAACCTTCTTCACCACCTGACCTTACCGACGACGACGCACCCTACACCACCCCCCCCACAACCGCCAGAGGCCGAAGCCGACATAGAGGTAGCCCAACAGACCGGACCAGATCGGGGCACGAATCGGGCCCAACAGACCGGACCAGATCGGGGCACGAATCGGGCCCAACAGACCGGACCAGATCGGGGCACGCATCGAGCCCTACAGACCGGACCTGCTTTAACGTCATCACCGACCCATTGGACCTCCGAAATCGTCCCCACAACGAACAGCCAAGAGCACCCACCGATCCGCCTCCGACTCCGAAAAGCATCACAGCTCGCCGCTTGACAGCTCGCCGCTTGACAGCTCGCCTTTGACAGCTCGCCGCTTGACAGCTCGCCTTTGACAGCTCGCCGCTTGACAGCTCGCCGCTTGACAGCTCGCGTTTGACAGCTCGCCGCTTGACAGCTCGCCTTTGACAGCTCGCCGCTTGACAGCTCGCCTTTGACAGCTCGCCGTTTGACAGCTCGCCGCTTGACAGCTCGCCTTTGACAGCTCGCCATTTGACAGCTCGCCGTTTGACAGCTCGCCTTTGACAGCTCGCCGCTTGACAGCTCGCCTTTGACAGCTCGTCTTTGACAGCTCGCCGTTTGACAGCTCGCCTTTGACAGCTCGCCGTCTTTGACAGCTCGCCGTTTGACAGCTCGCCTTTGACAGCTCGCCTTTGACAGCTCGCCGTTTTTGACAGCTCGCGCCCTCCCTCATCATGCTTCCCATAAAATGCATCATGCCTGCTTCCTTCCTCCTCCTCATGTTTCCCATTCTTACCGCAACATCCACTGCCATGAACACGCATGCTTCATGCCCAGGAATACAAATCGAACATCAATACCTGCATTTCGGAATTGTGGACATGGTAAAAAGAGGAACCTTAGACCGCCTCGGGGACTTTGACTTTTGCATACCAGAAACCCGTGTCCTCCTCCGCCATTCCATACTGCCCACCATGACCACACACCAGACTTGGGAACTGTTTATCCGCTCTTCAAATTACACCCTACTCGGTAAACTTATACTCAGTAGAGATGGCCCCTGGAATCGAGCCCGCTGTATAAACGGCTCCTATACACTATTCTCAGACGGTGTTCCCCAACAATCACTGAACTGGACAAACTTGGATAATGGTGGGGGCGAATCAGTTTACACTGACCATAATCATCCAACCAACCGTCTTATCCACGGGTTTTATTGCCAAAGGGTAGACACGGCACCCCGCCCCACCACCCTACAAGGAGTCTGCCTCCGGAGGTACTGCTGCGTGTGGGACATTGGCCTTGCCTCTACTTGGGACGGCAGAGCATACCTTGAGGGATGGTACCACTCCACCACACCACCAACCCAGTGGGATACCTCCGGCCCTCAAAGATGTGGCGGTCTAGCTACAAATCTCACCTACCTACTTCGACAAGACCCTCTCCACCCTGCGGGTACAGCACCTCGACAAAGGGGGGAACTGTCCATATCCCAAGCTCCAACCAATAGCGACCTATTGTCCACCTGGCATTCCAACACCTACGTGAAACTAGTCTCTGAAATCGCAAAGCAAACTACCACCGACAACTGCTGGATCTGTGCCAACGCTCCTGCCCACCTCCACAGCGGCATACCATTCCTTGGAGTACCCCTCACCTTACAACAACATCTTTCTGCCGATGTACGGTCCTGGAACTTGACTGCTGTGAATTTAACTCACCAGTACATTTACCTCACTGGACCCACGAAAGGTGACCTCTGCCGGAAATTCAGCGGCAACGACAGGATGATTGGAGAAAGTACTTGTAAGTACCTCATTGATATTCCCCTAATCGGTAAAATTACTGTGTGGCGACAGGGCGTCCCCTCCACCCATCCAGACCTGTTGTCAGCCTGGAAACAAGTCATGAATTTACCTGACACTTGGGACCCCTCCCCCAGCTCCCACTGCTTCTTCCGCACCTTTCTCACGGGTCGTATAGACTCTTGCCTACAAGGACTGTTTTGGGTGTGCGGGCACCGCGGCTATGTATGGGCTAGCCCCCACTCCCGAGGCACCTGCTACCTTGGACTTATCTTGCCCGGGATCAGGGTCACCCCAGACCTTCCCCTTGGGAGGAGGCGCAACAAGAGGGCTAAGGATTTGTCGGAACTCTCCGATGTGTCAGCCAACGGGGAAACCTATGGACGGGCCCTTTTCCCCGCCTACGGAGCAGGCTCCAACCATGTCGACATCCTTAAACTAACAGACATTTTGTTAACCTTTATGGAGGAATCCAACGCTGCAACCCAATCCATCTTAACGGAGCTAACTGAGGTCAGACAGATGGCGATCCAGAACCGCCTTGCTTTGGACTATATCCTAGCTTCAACCGGAGGAGTATGTGCACTTGTGGGAACTGAGTGCTGCACATACGTCTCCGACCAGACGCTGAACATTACTGGTCATCTCAACAACATCCATAAACTGACTGACGACCTTAGAAATATCCAACACGAAGGTCTGTCTGATACCCATCTTTGGGGATGGCTACCAGGCACCACATGGATAAAACAGCTCCTCGGAAATGGCCTCCTTATTCTAATCGCCGTAGCCATCTGTGTCGCTTTCTTCTGCTGCGCCGTCCATTGCTTTCCACTTTGCTGTCAAACGTGCGAATACTGCGTCCCATCTCCCCACTCCCGCACCGCTGCTTCCCAGAGGATGATCCCGGCGGGAACCCCTTCGACCTTCATCGAGATGGCACCCCAAGGAGCCCAGCACAACCCGGACCCTAGGTATGGCGCGTCAGACTTTTATTAAGCTTGTGCGGAGAGAAGGATTGCACGGTGCCCACCTTCGCAATCTTATCTCCGAAGGGGGGAACTGTCGCCGGAAGACCCCCCCCTTCATTACACTGTAATGCACAAGCACCACACACCTCCCATCTCCCTAAACAGGGTGATGCCCCTTCTAGAGGGGCATCACCTCAACGGGCAATAGCCTTCCGTAAATAAGGAAGCGCTGATTTCCTTTAAAATAGCCTTTATTTCTATGCATTTCTTCCACGTTCCGCTCTGCCCTATCTTTATTACGAGTAGACCGGGCGCATAAACTCCAGGTCAGCCGGCAGCCGTTTCAGCCAATCAGTGTTACCGAACAGCGCCCCTTGTGGCGGCCACGCTGGTACTGCAGGCAGCGGACCCTCGCTTCTCTGTCTTTGACAGCTTCCTAATACAAAGTTTCCGGGTTCAATTGACCGTGACTGATTTAATCAAAATGTAGCAACCACTTCCTGAGGAGTGAAAGTGCTTGAACTTCAGCGGCCGTATTCTTCATAAATTCACCATAAATCAACCGTACGTCGGATTTTCATCGGACCACTTTTATTCTACTCCATATTACAAGGACTGTCAAAGGGGGGTGGCTTGTTGCCAGTCAGCCATAATCCCTTGACCGAGCAGGCACGTACTCTGCAGCCCTTCCCCTGTTGACACAGCAACCTTGATAGTCGCCTTGATGGGCTCAGACGAAAGACTATCAAGGACACAATGAACTGCATATGCTAGTGTATTCAGCACGGACTATGACAAAAGAACTGTGACCGGAGTCCCCTCAGGGGGCAGGAAACTGCGCCCTTCCCTTTGTTCTCTGGAAAGGCTTATGGCGAGGAGGGGAGGGGGACCCTGCCAGGTGTCAGGATACTCGGATTACCTGTGCGACCCCTCCTCCGACTCCTCCTGTTTTTAATGTAGTCATGATGTAAATATGATGTATTTCTAGGGGTGTAACTTAGGGGATTAGGAACTAATAAAAGTTGGGGTCTTCTTTTGTTCGGGGCTTCCATCTTGCTTCACCTCGTGGGCGGTGGGAGTCCTGTCGCGACAGTCTTTTCTTCAATAAAGACCAAGCCTACTGGCTGCTGATTTGCTTCCAATTGCTCTGGTTGGTGTCTTTGTTTTTGTCCAAGGGAGCCCTCAGATTTTCCGTTAACACTAACAACTTCAAACGGATTATCCCAGCTATATATCTGACTCCACCTAACAGTTCCTCTCACTCTCTCACAGCACAACTCGACCAACCCGCAGACTTATCCTCCCTCTTCCTTCTCCAACTCCCAACCCTCAACTGACTTCCACACAACTCCAACTCTAACTCTAACTCCACCCCTTTGGTTCCCACTGGCCAATCACATCACACTCATTTAACCCTTTCCTTATGACCCACCTAGGAGGCAAACACCACAGTGGGATCAGACTCACAAAGCAGCACGGGGTTGGCAGGGACAGTGTGAGGAGGAAAATGTACCCTAAAAAAAATATGCCTGGGGCAACTGCCCCTCTCGCCCACCCATGCCATGCCTGTGTGGCCAAGTGGTGATTTCTTGTTTCCCGGTTCCTAGGTTTACCACTCTAACCACAGCATTACACTTGCTCTCACAAGCACGTCCCGTTTTCATTTTGGAAATGTCCCTTGAATAAGCAAAATGCTAATGATGTCATATCAGCTTCTGCTTCATAAGGCCTAGGGCGGGAAGCCATATTCTGAATTATTTCTTTACCCTAATTGAATGCAGAGAATGCTGGTATACGAAAACAGATCCACCAAACATTGCAAGGAAAACCTACTTTTTCAACAACAACAACAAAAATAGCTTGTAATCACACCAGGGGAGAAAACAAGCTGCTTACACCCTTGGCATTCCTTCTGTTCAGCAGGCACAAGAGGAACACAGAGCTGACTCACTCCAACACAGCTCTCACTGACTCGATAAATATTTAACGCCAAGGAGCTATCAGAGATCGGAGGGAGGCCGTTTCTGGGAAATGTGAGCATGATCCACATGTGCCAGGTAAACAAAGCCCTGGGAGGATGGCTCACTACTGTGAGAAACTGAACAGAGGCTAGTCCTATCACTGTGTAAACTCATCAGTTGAGTATTGGTCCTATCCATCTGGCCAACTGTCAAGCGGAAAGTGAAGCTTCAGAAAGTAGCGAGTTTCTTACAGCTTGCACAAGTACATAAACATTAGCCGATAGGACGTGAGCATGGATCATTTGCCATGCAGATTGTGGGCGAAGCTCATTCCTACAAGGCACTGGGGTGGAGTTAGGAGGTTTCTGTATACACAATTTGCATCAGAGCCAATTAGCAGATTTCAGGGAGAAATCCAACACAGTCCACTTAGGGTACTGCAAATGATGAGGTTCCTCCAAGCCTGTGAATACCTAAGAACATAAGAAGAGCCCTTTTGGATCAAGTCAAATGCCCATTTAGTCCAGCATTCTATTTTCAGATATCTGCTAGGAAGCCTCCAAGCAAGAAATGAGCCCCACTTGGGATTCCTAGCAACTGGTATTCTGAGCCATACTGTCTCCAGGAGTGGACCAAAGTTGGCCATGCTCATTAATTTCAGAGCATCTCTTTCGTGTTTGGATGGAGTTGTTCAGGCTGTATTTACCACCACTTGCATTTTGTATTCCATAGGAACGTACAAAGTTGCTTCATACTGAATCAGACCATTGGTCTATCTGCCACAATGGCTGGAAGAGGCTCTCTAGGGTTTCAGGCAGAGGTCCCCCCACCTCTGCCTGAGATCCTATGTTCAATCCCCCACCCAGGGATTGAACCCAAGACCTTCTGCATGCAAGGCAGATGCTCTGCTTCTGAGCTACTGGCCCTTCCAGTCTGCTTTGGGGTGATTTTATTCACTCAGTGCTGCTGCTGGCTTATTTTATTGTTTTAATGAGTTGCGATCTTGGGTTTCATTGGGTTGTGGCCAATGAGATTTTAATCAGGGCAGACCCACTGAAATTACTAGAAAGGAATTAATCATGCCAATTAACCAATAGGTATACTCTGAGTGTGGCAAACATTGGATCAAAACCCCACTGTTTGCTTTGTAAGCTATTTTGGGAAAGTACATTCCCCGAAATGGTGAGATTTATTTTATTTATTTTTTTGAAAAAAATCTGTTAAGTGGAAAAACAAACATATTTGCAGCTTTTACCGTCCCTGATGCCTTTCCATTAACATATTGTAGGGGAGCTGAGCAGAATCTGGGATCTCAGCAGCCCAGCAGTAAGTAGCGTACCATTTCCAGTTTCCTATTTTCGCTGTAACACTCTTCGTGGTTTTGTTTGCAGATTTTCAGTCTGGAAACAACAACAACCTATCATATTATGACAGCCTCTTTTGCACCATCACTCTCTGCTGTTTTTGTATCATCTGCACACTAGATTGGAATAATGAGAGTGTCTAAGCAGTCTCAGCCCACAGAGCTACGCACACATGCACACACAGCTACCTGCATGTATGTGACTGGGTGAGGTGTGGGGTTTTGGCGGTGCATTTGTCCTAGAGAGTTGCAAAATCCAGTCATGTTGCTTTGATTCCCCACGCCTTGTGTGGGCAAGTTTTAATAACAGGAGAGCACCGACAAAGGCTTTTGTGAAATGTTTCAAAAACTGGAGGAGGAGAGAGAGAGGAAAAGTCTCCACTTGAGCACTCCGTTCAAGTTGTCTGACAGGGTCTTTTTGTGGTAGGTAATACAGTCAGAGGACAGCCTAATACCATCTACTTCCGCATCCTAAACACAAAGCAGGGACCTTCAATAAACTGACCCCTTGATCCCATCTCCCCCGCCCACCCCACAAAACATCACAGACCAACCTAAAGTATACGGCTCACTTAAGTATCATTGATTCAACAGGACACAAGTGCAACTTTTTTCAGGTTGGAATAAAATCTGTTGGATCTTCAAACCAATGGACCATGGGTAGCCATATTGGCCAAGCTATGCCCACCTGTTCCATACTTGAGGTCTTATATGGTGTCACCCAAACGGGTTGATGGATGGCCATCTGTCATGGATGCTTTAGCTGAGATTCCTGCGTTGCAGGGAGTTGGACTAGATGAGCCTTGGGTCCCTTCCAACTCTATGATTGTCAGGTCTTTCAAAGCCCCTTGCAAAGTGTTCTGCAAGACCTGGCAATCAGCTGCCTATCAAGTCCTTCTGTATGTTCTGAAGGCTCAACAGCTGTGCGTTTGCCTGCACTGTTTGATTTCAACATGTGCAAGCAAATAAAAAGTGTCAGCTGACATTATTGTGCTGTCAGGTGATTGAGAGGCATGTAACCCCACCACCAAGACCTGTCAAACTTGCCCCCACCCCTTGAAATAGATATACTCAATTGTTCAGTTATGGCAACAGTGTGATCCAAACTACCTGCCTGCTCTTATGGTCTTTAATTGTATTAGGGAGGAAAACTGTTCATCTCTCTGCCTCACCTAAAATTAAAGACATTCATCTACTTCATGTTTTTATCTTGAACTGGCTGACTATTTTTATGCTGTCTAAACTTTTCCTCTAAGCCAAGGATGGGAAACTTGTGCCCTACAAATGCTATGAGACTTCAATGCCCATCTGCTCTGACTGATTTAAAAATCATATAAAGGTTAAGTCAGTTTCTAGGTTCAGATGAGAATATTAACTCTAATACTACATTAGTGTTAGGGAACCTCTGGACCAGGGGCTAATCTTGACCCACCAAACCACTCCAACCTGCCCATCAGCTGTTGTCACCAGCAATGTCAGTTGATGGATGGAAGGACATTGGCTGTGCACCCTATTCCCAGCATGAGTCAGGCATCGCAGGCAGCAGGATTTAATCCCTGCTCATCAACTGATGAATGTAAAGAAAAATCGCTTGCACTTCTCCTTTATGATGGTGGCAGATGAGCAGGGTACTCCCTCACCCCACTCCTACCGCCTGCATAAAGGAGAAGCAGAGCTGCTTCAAAGAGTGCTTTTGCAAAGGGCTTTGAGACAACCTCCCTCCCCGTTCCCATTTCAGTCTGTTCCAGAGCCTTAGATGGGAGTGCGGGGGCTGCCTTAAAGTCTTTGCAAGTCTCCCCACAATCCCCTTTTAAATCTCAAAGATTGACAGTTCACAGGATAGGGGAGACTTGCCAAGATGTGCAAGGGATTTTCTTCCCCAGCCCTGCACTACATCATAGGAAGCTGCCTTATACTAGGTCAAACTATTTCCTCATTTAGTTCATTACTATCAACTCAGACTGTAATTGGCTGTCCAGACTCTCCAGCAGAGGTTCTTTCACATCACCTGCTTCCAGATCCATTTAACTGAAAATGCTTAAGATTGAAGCAAAACATGTGTTCTACACATTGAGCTATGGCCCCACTCCTAAAATGTACAATGATCTTAGTCTGCAACAGGGCTTGTCAGGAATATGAAACCAAGGCTTCTCATATTCTAAGTGAGAATCATATGCCTAACCCAGCTTTCTCCTACCTGATGTCTTCCATTCATGTTGGACTCCAGCTCCCATCAGCCTCAGCCAGCATGGCCAATGGTCAGGTGTGATGGAAGTCATCATCCAAAAAGTTTAAAGCGCACCAGGTTGGGAAAAGCTGGATTAGGCCAATAGCCTACTAGACCATTATATGCTCTGTGGTCTTCATGTTTTTACACATGAGATTAAAATATGAGGCGGCGAGAGATAATAGGGCTGGTTCAGAAGATAGTCACCCCAACTGACCCAACATGTGAGCACAAAGCTTATCTCTTCCCATTTCTGCTTGTGCATGTGGGGGAAAATAATCCAAATGACATCTCTGTGCAAGCACAACTGTGTGGTTGATTTAATCAGGGAATCAGCCCTACAATTTTGTGTTTTTTTAAAATCATTTTTATTAAATTTTGTTTTACAATTTCAAATATTCATTTTACATCCTTAAGATATCAATGACTTCCCTTCTCTTTCCATGGTTCATTTTACATATCTTAAATCCGTGCATATTTTACAAAAGCTATACCAATCAGTTTTCCATTATTGCATCCATCAAAACTTTTTTACACTGTTGAATTTATCTTAATGCTGTCAGTGTTTTCAGATGTACACAATTCTTTCCCATATATTCAACAAGCGTTTTCCCATCTTCTTTAAATGTACGTTCTACTTGTTCTCTTGTTCTATGTGTTAAGTCTGCAAGTTGTCCATATTCACCTTAAGTTGCCATTCTTCTTTCGTTGGGACCTTGCTCATTCTCCATTTGGGGGCTAACAAAACATGGGCTGCAGTTGTTGCATACAGAAATATGCCCCGCAATTTATACACTTGTAAACTCTAATTGGATAATCTACCCCTTCATGTACAGGTGGAGACAGCACACCGGGGAGATGCTGAGTTGTAAGAATGTTGTCTTCTTCTTTTTTATAATAATATTTATTGTGTTTTCCATTTTAACAATCCAATAAAAACCACATTAATAACATTCCAAATTATAAAAGAATCAAACGATCCAAATTTTATGCCAAATTATAAGTCTTTGGTTGGCTTCCCATGCTCTGAGGTTCAGGGGGTGGTGATGATCTCACATTTATGCTGCTTCTCTTAATTAGTCCAGGTAGTTCCAATAAAACAATCCGATTTAATCCTTTGTTTATTTTTACCAGCCTCTGAGTTCCTCTGGCAAGCAGATTAGACCAATAAATAATGTTGTCTTCTCAGGACATCTTCATAGCTCCAGTTATGAGCTATGCCTTGGTCATGCATCCTGGATCAGCTTACAGCTGAGCCTATGCTGTTATGAGCCTAAATCATAGAATCATAGAGTTGGAAGAGACCACAAGGGCCATCGAGTCCAACCCCCTGCCAAGCAGGAAACACCATCAGAGCACTCCTGACATATGGTTGTCAAGCCTCTGCTTAAAGACCTCCAAAGAAGGAGACTCCACCACACTCCTTTGCAGCAAATTCCACTGTCGAACAGCTCTTACTGTCAGGAAGTTCTTCCTAATGTTTAGGTGGAATCTTCTTTCTTGTAGTTTGGATCCATTGCTCCGTGTCCGCTTCTCTGGAGCAGCAGAAAACAACCTTTCTCCCTCCTCTATGTGACATCCTTTTATATATTTGAAATCTTGTCCATACTCTCAAGTGAGAACCACTGTTGTTGTGTTTAGGGACAGAAACCTGATATTCAGTTCAAGTTATTTGAAGGACCATCTCAATCTATTCTGTCCATACGCCGAGATCTACTTCAGGGATCCTTCTGGGATCCGCACACCTTTATCCATTGGGTTGGTATGCCCAGGAGCCAGAGCCATCACAGTGGGCGGCTCCAGAACTACAAATTCCTCTCCAATAAAGTTACACTTCGCCCCTTCATCTCTGGCATGATTTAAGCAGGCCTTAGAGGCCTTCCTCTTCCCAGCTGCTTTTAATACCACAAATACTTGGTGTCTCCAAAGCAGCCTCTCAATTTAATCTGTACAATGTGTTCTGCTGTGTCTGATTTTTCTCATAAGGACACAGGAAAGTGCCTTATACTGTATCACCCGCTAGGTCTATGTAGCTCAGTATTTCCTACACTGACTGGCAGTGGCTCTCTAGGGTTCCAGGCAAAGAGGATGTAGATGCCATTGGGGATTGAACCTGGGGACCTTCTGCATCCAAGGCAGACACTCTGCCACTGAGCTTCAGTCCTTCATTTTAATATAAAACCCTTCTCTCTCATGGTATACCACTTTGTGAAGTCATAGCTCTACAGGGTCGCTTAAAATACTAAACCCAAATGCATACAGTGGTACCTCAGGTTAAATACTTAATTCGTTCTGGAGGTCCGTTCTTAACCTGAAACTGTTCTTAACCTGAAGCGCCACTTTAGCTAATGGGGCCTCCTGCTGCCACCGCGCGATTTCTGTTCTCATCCTGGTTTCTCTTCTCTGGTTTCTCTTCAGATCGTATAACTCTTTCGCCTTTTACTGAAGCAAAGTTCTTAACCCGAGGTACTATTTCTGGGTTAGCGGAGTCTGTAACCTGAAGCGTCTGTAACCTGAAGCGTCTGTAACCTGAAGCGTCTGTAACCTGAAGCGTCTGTAACCTGAAGCGTATGTAACCCAAGGTACCACTGTGTGTGTAATATATATATATATATATATATATATATGAATGAAATAAGGAAGCCAATTTAAGGGATGAGACAAGAGGTAAAGAAAAAGGGCAACCATCTGATCCGGATCGTTATTTGTCTTTCCTCACACAACGCAGAACACATTTGCATGTAATAAAAGAAAATTACTTTCTTACAGCCTTCCGTGAATACCAGTTTGATTTATTATCTTTTACGTTGTGTGTGTGTGTGTGTGTGTGTGTGTGGAGGGGGGGGGTCGAGAAACAGCTACATCGAAAGGTGCCTCTATCCTCATTCCATGATAAGGATCGAACTATTCAATATGCCTGCCCCAAGATTTATTTCACTGTTTATTTCAGCAACAAGTAGTAAGGAGCTCTGTCAACCCAATTACCTCAAGTAGTTAAGCACGTTGAGGCACCTGGAAGGAAGAAATGTGGGGTGGTTGCCTAGAGACGCCACAGAGCAAAAGTGTAAATAGGATTTCATCCTGGGGAGGGAGGAAGAAATAATAAGTTTGCATTAGAAGAGTGGACTCTGAAACCAATATGAGTGGGTGGGGAGCATAACTATGATGAATAGCATACCCATGAAAGCAAACAGGTACTAAATATGAACTCAGAAGGATGGCTGGGGAGAAATTCAATTCAGCTGGAATTTTAAGACAAACTGACCCCATTCACACTTCCTGAAACAATCCTTGAGCTGACACAAAGCCATCCTTCAGTATTCACACATCTCTGAATTTCTCCAGTCAAGTAGTGTGTATAAAAATGCATATAATAGAATAAAATCTGAACTGAAACACATACAGTCATACCTCATGTTACGTCTGCTTCATGTTACATTCTTTCAGGTTACGTCCCGCGGTGACCCGGAAGTACCAGAAAGGGTTACTTCCAGGTTTTGCCGCTCACGCATGCGCAGACGCGCAAAATGATGTCATGCTCATGCGCAGAAGAGGCAAATCACAACTCGTGCATGCGCAGACGCGCCGCTGGGGGTTGCATTCTTTATATGTTGCGAACAGGCCTCCGGAACAGATTCCGTTTGCTACCAGAGGTACCACTTACATTAGTGGAAAGGAGCACACAAAAAGTTAAGGAAACCGCTTTCCAAAAACATGTTACATAAAGAAGAACTGCTTACTGAGGACCAGGATTTTTGGGAACTACACATTGACAAAAAAGAGGGTGGTGATCAGTTCCTCCTTGTTGGTGATAAGGTTGAAGATAGCTGACCTCCTTGTTGCTTCTTCCACCTTCTGCAAAACAAAACTGTCGGTGAGGCAATTGAGGAATCTGTTGGATGTCACATTCCTGGCAGAGATTAAGTCCCAACAGGTATCAGGGTAGTTGAAGTCTCCCATGATTATTATATCTCTCCTTATTGTACGTTGGGGAATGTGCTCTAGAAAGGCATGGTCCAAGTCTTCATTCCAGCTCGGAAGTCCATAGCCAACTCCCACAGTAAGGTCACTGTTGTTTCCCTCTCCTACAATTTTTACCCATATACTCTCAATAAGGATACAGTAACTTGTTTCACCAACCAGTGTTCAGCATTAACCACAGTTTAATGCACGGAGGGAGGCACACTGGCCTTGTCATGAAGCATCAGGGTGAAGCCAAACTGCCGCTGCTATTGGTGCAGGCAGGAAGGAGGCAGCCGGAAAAGGAAAGGTAAGGCTCCATTTGTGATATACCACCAGGTGAAGGCGCCATCACACACTGGCCCTCAAATCAGTCCTGAACAATGTATCCATACATTGCCCAGGCCTAACACACATGACAGCAGCCATTTTGTGACTGGAGACCACAGCGCTTTCTCAATGTTCCAAATGAGCCCACCAGCTCACAAATAGGTCAATGAGCCTGCCTTAAATCCATTGAAGGAGAAAATTGGATGGGGAGAATCTCCGAAGCATCCCCTACTCTGGAGAACGCTTTCACAAATTCTGTCCAAAAATGCCTCAAATTTGCGGTTCAAACACTGATCAAAAAGCATTTTGGCACTACAGTTCTGTATCCATTAAATACGAAAGATGGGATGGAGGCAGCATTGAATCCCAGCAGAGGCAACCTCAGAATGAGGTGTGTTTGCATAGCACTTGAAAGCTAAAGCATCGATCTTCAATACAAATTACATTAACTTGAAGCAGGGGTTTTGCCAACAATAGCAAATAGGGTCCCACCCCCTTCCCCCCTAAAAAAAAGCCTTAGGACAAATCCTCAAAGTCTTTTAAATAAGAGATTTGATTATATGCCTGCTAATGGGTGTTAGAAGACAGGAGTGCCTGGCATGCTCTGGTCCATGGGGCCATGAAGATTCGGACACGACTGTCAGGGAACTGACATCGGAGCTAGAGGCGGAGGGGAGGCTCTCAAATGATGCTGGAGAAGGGCCCAGCAGGGAGAGAGGCAGCTCAGCAGATGGGGAAGCAAATCAGCGCAACACCAGAGATAAAGGGGGGCAGATGGGGGAATCGACGAGAGGGCTCCAGGACTCTTCACCGGACACCAGCGGGGAGAGCACGGGTCCTCCGCTACCCACGCCCTCCCTGCGCAGAAGGCTTCCGCGCAGGGAGAGTAGGGGGAGACTTGGCGTCAAGCAACTTTTATGTTGGAAAAGGTTTAAGAAACACCCACTGACGGATACTGCTAGCGACTGAGGCAGCCACGAAGTGAAGGGCTGTCCAGACAGAAAGGTTTAAACAAGGCAACATAGCCAGGAGAGGCGGCAACTTACGCACCAGCAACCCATACTCATTACAACGACTAAACAACAAAATGGGTGTTCTAGCTAGGCAACCTTTTCTCCGTTCTCATACAAACCCAGAAATCTACCCAGTGTGTATAGTGCTTAGAGTGTTGGACTAGGACCCAGGAGCCAAAGGCTCAAAACTTTGCTTATTGGGTAGCCATGGGCAAGTCACGGTCTCTGAGCCTAACTTACTATTATTGTATTTTAATTTTTTTATTAAATTTGAATACCACCCTATACTCGCAAGTCTCAGGGCAATTCACAACATAAAATCACAATATAAAAACACAAAATACATAATAAAAAACAAGAACAACTCAATAATCCATTAAAATTTGGCTATTTCTCAACCAAAACAGCAACACGAACAGTCAAGACGAGGAAGAGGAGTTACAGGGAACCAGCCAAGTTACAGGGAACCAGGCAGAAGGCCTTCTCGGTAGTGGCACCCACCCTGTGGAACGCCCTCCCACCAGATGTCAAAGAGAACAACAACTACCAAACTTTTAGAAGACATCTGAAGGCAGCCCTGTTTAGGGAAGCTTTTAATGTTTGATGTATTACTGTATTTTAATATTTGGTTGGAAGCCGCCCAGAGTGGCTGGGGAAGCCAGCCAGATGGGTGGGTTATAAATAAATTTTATTATTATTATTATTATTATTATTATTATTATTAACATATCAACCACCCCAGCTGCAGAGGACCTGAAGGCTGTGATGCTACCCACAGGATTGTTGCAAGGATAAAATGCTTAGAGGGGCTTCAACAACATTTGCTTTCTATGCAGACTGGCCACTGTCATCTGTCTGCTTTTGTTGTGGTGCAATCCTAGGCCAGCCTACCCAGAAATGCACCTATCTGAGTTCAATGGGACTTACAGGGACGTGTGCATGGCAGGGACCTCTGGGCCATGAAAGTTCTCAATATCCACGATCCACCAGAGAATATGGTTGCTCTGCCTGCTCAGTGCCTGTTTGCACTGGCCAGTTTCTCCTACACTGAGCAATATAATAAATATATTCTGTAGACTGGTGGGCATCCATCCTGGCCGTCTTGCTTCCTGCCATAAATAGTACAGGACAAATGCCTCCCAGCCAGAAAAGGAGCATCATTTTCCCATTTTTAAGAAGGGGGACAGGAACGACCCTCATAACTATTAGCCGATTAGCTTCCTAGGTATTTCCTCCAAGCTTTAAGCTCAGAATCTTCTACAAAAATTATGAGACTGGTTGCAAACAAAGAACAGGCAAAAATTAGGAGAGGATATAACACCATGGATCAATGCTTTACTCTGAACCACATAAAAAAACCCACACTTAAGAATTTTAAGAATAATCTCTGTGCAGCCTTTCTTGATCTTTCTGCTGCTTTTGACTCTACAAATCGAAACAGTGGGAGAAATTATCAAGTTCCAACACAGACCACAGACTTTTGCTATCGATTCAAGAATTATATAGCAATAAGGAAATGGGGGCCAGAGTTGTTCTAAATGGAGGTATGACTGAAGGCTTTAAAACTTCAAGACTTCAAGAGGAGTGAAACAATGATATATATTGGCTCCCACCCTTTTAAACATTTATATTAATGAATCGGTACCACAGCTGGCTTCTGCAAACTCTCCTTTCCCTGTGATTAAGGATATTCATTTTCTTGTAGGTGGATGATCTGGTGCTTCTTTCCTTCTCCTGTCCGAGTCTCAAAAATTTCTTTAGTATGTCTTGCAAATAGGATAGTTTATCCATAAACCACTCTAAAACTCAGACTGTGGTTTTTCACAGACACATCCCTAGGCATAAATGGTTTTCAG